CAACCTGCTTCTCCTTCTGAGTCATAGAATAACCCCTCCCACGGCCTTGGACCGTTAAATAACCCTGCTGCATGTGCCCTTCTCGGAGGCAAGAGAAGCTGATCAAAGAAGCGGGAGGAGGAAAGGCAGCGGGCGTGCGCAAAGGGAATGGACGAGCCGAGGGGTAAGAGAAGATGAATTGCTCCGAATTTCAGCAGCAAAAGCAGACCCTCCCTCTCCCCCCCCCCCCCTTTCTTTCAACCCAAAGGAAGAACTAGGGAGGGGAGGGAGAGAAATTCTCGGAGGAATTTGTGGCTGCTGAAAACAGCTGTAATGTCAGCCCTGATACAGACAAAAGTTGAACTCGTGAATATTCATGTGAAATGTGTATAGTCCTTCAGTTTTGCCATTCAAGAGCGAACTTGTTCAGAGTTCCTTCTACCGGCTTCCAACGATATTTCCAGTCCTCACCGACTGGAAGGAAAGTCCTTGTTGAATGAGGACTCCTGTCTGTGTTGCTTCTGAGATTATGGATTTGCTGTCAAGGAGATTTATTGTAGCCTGTGGAACCAGCATGGATACCTGCTCTAAGTTTGGATCACATGGAAAGGGTACAGTGCAAGAGTGTGTGTGTGTGTATGTGTGTGTGAGAGAGAAATCTTTCGAGATCGGGAGAGCTATTCTGCTTTTGAGGGAGATAAACCAATAAAAATGCTGGTTAATGATCTTTGGAACATGTAAGGGGAGTGCAAAAAACTGCTTCCCATGCCATGTTGTTATCTTGGATTAAGTGAGATTGCTGTAATGAACATATATATGGCCATGGCCTGGTAGGAGGAGGGCAGTAAAGTTCCGTTTGGGATCTTTTTTTCACTCAAGAAGTTTAAGCCTGCAATTTTCTGTATATTGGCTGCCTTAGATGTTTGCATTATTTCCTGCTTTTAATAATAAGGGCAAATGATACAAATTCTGCCTGAGAGGCTCACACGTGCTTTTATGTGGTGTGAAAGTTTCCTTCCAGCTCTCAGTTCAGTGCACCCAAGAGCGAACCGTTATATTGTGAGCAAGCATAACTCAGCGTTAGAGCACATGCTTTGTGTGCTGAAGTCTCAGGTTCGGTCTTGGCCGTTCCAGTAGATAGTAGAAACAACCTCTGCCTGAGATCCTAGGCAGCTGCTGTCATTTTGGACAAACAAGGAAGCTTTATCATGTATATGATATGACTTTATGGATGCATGTAAACAAATAGTTATGTAGCATAAGAAAAATATGCAAAAAAGCCAAGGTATTTCTAGCTTAACTTCTAATTGGGGAGAATAATATTTCTTGCAGAAAATGAGATGCTGGGTAAAACATTGGTCTTGCCACTGGAAAACATGAATTAAGTTGCTAGGCAAATATGTAAGCAAGAATTTGTCTGCAGCGACAACAATCTATATGGTGGCATTCTGCTTTGATAGGTGCAGGGTAGTTGCAATAGAGACCTTAAGTAGCTGGGATGCAAAAGCTCTTCATAACTTGCATGGCTGCTTACAGAATTGTTCCCCAAGTCATGACTGGGTAAGATTATTTTCTGTTTAGGGGCACCTGCGGAGGGAGGAGGCATGTCAGTAGCATCAAAAGGGCAGGGGTGATTGACATGACAGAAGTCTTGCCCCTTTTTATATCCATGCAATGTGTGCAGCACACATTAAAAAAGGCCAAAAGCTGATCATGCCCCACCATTTTGATGCTGTTGTTTCCTGTAGATGCCAGTGTTGGGTGATATATCGCACACATGGATTGTTGATAGTAGCAAGTACCCCTATTTTTGCTAGGGAAAGCTTTTTTTTTTGTGGTAGTCCAGTTTATAGGCTTCCACTTCCCCTTTAGGCAGGAAATGGAAAACAAAAACAAAAAAGTTTTTCTGTGGCCAAATAATTGCCTGTGAAACGTGAAATGAAATGTGTTGTCACACTTACTCCTATCCCTAAAAGCATCTACTCTGGACAAAAAAGAAAGAACAAACCTCCTTTTTTCTGGTATGCTACTAATACGTCTTTAATAGTGTTTTTCAACCTTAGCAACTTTAAGATGTGTGGACTTCAACTCCCAACATTCTGGGCGGTGAAGTCTACATATCTTAAATTTGCCAAGGGTGAGAAGATTTGCCAAGCTTTAGTATGTCCACCCCTAATAAAATTCAAATGGGGGGAGGGGAAGGATGTTAATGCATTTAAGATGTCAATACATCACCAATTAAATCAACCTATTTCTTTAGATCAGCTGTCCCTAAGCTGATACCTTCTAGATGTCCTGGGTTCATTCTTAGCTACGGCCATAGTCTGTAGGAATTCTGAGAGTTGAAATCCCAACACATCTGGAAGATACCGAGCTAGCGAAGGCTACTCTGTATCTGGAGAAAATTCAGAACTTATGTGAAATCACCCTTATAAATGAACCCAGGAGAATGTTGCTGAGATGCAAGATATGAACAGAATAGCATCCTTTCACATGTACTCTCCAGCAGTGGTACTGATATACTGCCTTATTACTGGAGGTAATGTAGAGTTAGGTAACAAGACCTAGCCAACTTTGGCTGATCTCAATATGCCAAGCAGAGATAATACTTGGAGGGAAATCACCAGGAAATAGCAGGGTTGTAGATTAGAGTGGAAAGTTGAAAAAATACCCTGGAAGAATGCAGAATCAAACCACATTGTACTGTTGCCAAGAAAACTACATGGATGTATCCATGAAGTCACCAGGAATCAAGTTTGACTCAAAGGAGATTTTATTTGTTTAAATGTGCAGTGGCTGTGACTAATACAGATTTAAATTGTAGCCTCTCTCCCTGAATTTATCTAAAGACTTCGTTCTGCTAGCTTGTGTGGGGTGATAAGAACTCTAATCCATCCTGGGGACGGCTGGTGCCCTAATGACAATCCCCAGCTACTCGCCAATTCCATCAATTCTTGGAATTTATTTATTATTTATTTAAGACTGCTATTATATTGTATTTTAATTGATTTTATCCTCTCTGTAAACTGCCCAGAGTCACTTTTTAATGAGATGGGCAGTGACAAATTTGATATATAAAATAAATAAATATTTCCTTTTAAAGTTCTCTGAGTTAATGGCTATCACTATCTCATGTTAGATTATTTTAGAGGTCTCATGATTCCATTTTGGATTCAATGGCTTTATATGCCAGATGGGAGGCTCTTAGATGATAATCCATGTTACTGCATCCTTTAACATGTGGTAAGCCATCTTTGCTGCATTTGGGGTTTCCATTTATTCTAGTGAGTGTGATCCCCCCCCCAGTTGCCCAAAGAATTGTTGTTTCTCTGGGTGTTGCGGTATATCATCTCCAAATAACTATTATGTGGATGATGGAGCAGTGTAAGTTGAGTATAAAATGCCAGTGAGGCTTACATTAGTTGATCTTCTTGTTCCTGCTTCAGCTAGATTGGAAGCCTTACTTATCATAATTGCCCATGTAGCATCAAGTAACAGACTATAACAGAAGCAGACTGGAATCCTGACAGGTCAATGGTAGTGATACCTTGAGAGGAAAGCAGGACAAGTCCATGGATACAAGTTGTGAAGTTGAAAAAAGGAATGACAGCTCCTTGGTTGTTCAGACTAAAGAGCAAGCACACCATCGCACCATTCATAGAGTAGAGAGGGAGTATGACAATAAGCTATTTGCCCTAATTTGTAATTAGGCTCCTATCTGCTTGTTGTCATGTGGTACAATCTTTTGTCCTCTTTATGTATTAAACTACCAGTGGAGCCCTAGGAGAAGAAAGGTTATTGTCTTCCTGGCCAGTGCTTGAAGTTGAAGACAAGTTCAGTCTTTAAAGCCCCACATTAACACTTGAATCCTGACAGATGGCCTGGAGGTTAGAAACTTGTGGAGTCCTTAGGGATCTCTGAGCTTGGTTCTTTTCTTGCAAACATTTCATTACCTGGCTAGATAACATCTTCAGTGCTAAAATGGGATGGGGTTTGCTCTCTATATACTGTGGCATGCCATGCCAGTGCTGGTGGGGGTGGGGGTTTTGTTTTGCTCCCCTGGTAGTTTGTTGATTAGCATATGTTTACTGCTTGATTGTGTGCCTGGCAGTAACCTTTGCTTATCTGGGTGATGATCTTCTGGTCTTTTGTCTCTTTTGAATAGTATGGAGATCTTCTGATCTTTTGTCTCTTTTGAATAGTATGGAGATGCTGTTTATCTCTATGGGTCTGTTAATTGCTGCCTTGTCTGAATACCAAGCTTCCAA